ATATATATATATTGTAGTATCTTTCAGTTCAACTAGATGGAGCCACTCCCTAAAGTTGCCACCCTGCAGACGCTGAATATTATGTCAAAGGGTAGAGGAACTCTACTCTCATCCTTTTGTGGTTTCTGTTTCACAGGTTTGTGTGCTAGAGCTGAGGAAATGACACTTGTGTGTGGTGTAGCTGTGGACCGACTACGAATGTGTACATAGCCAAAAAGACTGTCCCTGCCTGTCCGCCACACTGCTGTCTGTCCCATCAGGGTCCGCTTCTTCGTGGACGTCCCACAGTTCGTCACGCCTGTGCCGTACAGACGTAGGAAGAGCCTCCCCAACGTCACTTGGACCCCCAGTGGGTCAAACAAAACTCCGGCATCCTTCCGTCTTCTCATGTCCGTATTCGCTATATCAGAAGTGTACACATTTTTTGATCTCTGTCGCTGCGTGCGTATCAAACCTATCAGAATCTGGCGGCCCACACAGAGCTAAATTTGGACCTCACTGGGTTTATCTTGTGACGTGAGAGGCTTATCTCTTTTCATTTACAGATCTACTCATTTCCTGTTGGTGACATATGCCAACTCCTTCTTTTAATCCAAGGGATGTTTTTAAGTTGTCGCCGGTTTTAAAAGTGAGCAGAACCTTGCAAAAGTATTCACATCTCTTCAATTTTTAAGTCGGAACAACAAACTTTCTATTTTATTGGGACTTTGTGTGATAGTCCTACACAAATAAGCAAATAGTGAAAAATATGGAAAACTGGACTAGTTATCATTGCAAACTAGTGTTAGCTTCGCCAAGTTGAATAAATAATACCAATGATTAAGTCTTTTCTCAGATTCCAAAATGGATTTAGGTCTGGGATTTGACTGGGCCACTCTGGTAGTTGAACCTCCACCCCAATATCACGTCTTTTTCACCAAGGTGTGTAGCTCCATTCGTCCTCTGACCACCTTCTCTGTTTCTACAGAAAAAAATAATAAATGCATCGCCATCCCATGATGCTGCCACTACCACTTTTAACTATGGGGACAGGAAAGTGAGCCTGATCTGTTCCACATAGGTCAGTCAGTTGGTTGTTATCCTGCCAATACTGGTTATCTGGTTATTTTAAAGGCAGTTTTTATCAGAGTAAATGAGGCTGAATCCAAATACACACAGCAAATTTTTCCCCCCATTTTTCTTCCACTGCGCAATTAAGCTGCACTTTATGTTGGCCCATCACATAAAACCCAATCACATACATGGTTTTACCATGACAGAATGTTAAACAGCTTCAAGAGTTATGACTGCTTTTGCAAGTTACAGTATTTGGTAACCATCCTAGCTGTTTAAGGGGGGAACCGATTGTTGTTTTCTGGCCGATCACCAATATTTAAAAAGTTTGACCTGCTGATTCCGATTTTGGCCGATACTGATTGATTTATTTTTTTGGTCCAAAAAAATTGGTAAATATAGCGACAAAGCTGCTAAGTTAAGGGTAGATGAAATCAGTCTCACTGGCCAACGCAAATTTAAGGAAGTCGGGCTCGCAAACTGACTATTGAAAACATCTAAGAGTTAATCTGAGCCATGCATCTGCTTCGGATGTGAGATAAAGTGATAAACCCGTTAGACACATGAATTTCGCTGACACAACCATCTGGTAGCTGTAGATGTGCTTCGTTTCTCTCTTGGTGAAACCCAGACGGTGTTGTAACATTCGTTCTTTCCCTCACTTTCTTCTAAAAGGGCGTCTTCTCTTCTGCTAAAACGGCCGTACCCGGTCATCCCGACCTACGTACCACACTGCAGTCGACAATTGTTTCCCCGCATTATTACAAACACACAGGTGACAGACAGATGGCGATTTGCTAGCGGTGTTTAGGTTTTGCTTTTGAAGACAAGTTGGCTGTTGATGAAGTGAACGTGCAGACAGACGCAGGCTGCTTCGTTGAATCTTATAAGATACCATTGCACCGTCATAGCTGCGACCAAAGCAGTAGGCGTTTGAAGTCGTTTTGCACTTTAGCCTAAAATGAGAGAAGATTCAATCCATCACAAACTTATCTTTAGAAGCAGGTTTATCGGTCATCTTCAACTCACATCAATCAAAAAGGACCCGTCAGCCGACCTGTTACATATCCGCCACAAAAAGTGCTTGTACCTTTATTTGCTTTGATAAAGCCAGCAGTCTCTGAACTGGATCCCTCTGACAATGAAATGGTATTTTATCCCCGTTTGGTTTTGGGTGGGCAGGAACAGTACTAACACCGATCCTATGTTTGCTATGTCGGAAAGCCCTCGAAGGTTTTGTACTTTTGTAATTTTGATTCGTTTGTAGCCACGTACTCAAAACGACAAAAAGAAAAACAAAACAAACAAAAAAACACAGATGTAATTGTTGGTGTAATATAACACAGAACATGTAAATACCAATTTTCTGAAAAAAATTTTTTTTGGGTGTCTTTCCACAGACCTATGTTGTACTTTGTCACGGTTGCAGCCTGCAGCCTCCTGATCAGACTGTTGGTATATCACTCAGATCTTAAGGTCTAGAATAAAATCTATTTTGATAATATCTGTGTGTTTTGTGACTTTGCTCCACACCAGAACAGACTTCACACACAACTGCTAGAGATCAGTTCCACATGCGGCTTTATGCTCTGCTCACCAAGAGGCAGAGCGGAAGTGCAGGAGTTCAGCAGCGATCTGAAATGGGGGGAAACATGCATTCCGCACCACTGCATGCAACAGTCAGTCACTGCTATTGTGATAAAAAGATCACACATTTCTCAAAAATGCCAGGCGCTTTGTTTCTGCCATCTCATCTGCTGCAGCCCGGATTCCTGCAACGGTTTGGCCATGTTGAGGTTTCCGCTATGGTTCCTACAGCCCAGAGTTCTGTTTCTGCTGTAACCATGCTAAATGTGCACCTGACGGTCCTTCAGATTATAATGCTAGCTTGATGTATGGGAACAAACAAGAATGAATTTCTGTTCAGTCAGGCAAACATTTGAAACATTGGGTCGAAGTTGATCTGCATCACCATTATACACAAGCTAGTAGACTCCAGCAGCTAGTTGTTTTTTTTTTGTTTTTTTGACTTTTGTTTTTTGTCTGAATTTTACCAAACAGGGTAGTATTTGATAGGTTCCTAAAAGTAATCTACATGATCTTTTATGAAATGTCAAAGTACTATTTTTTTATTAGGTTGAGGTTGGTGGACCTCAATGTCAGCTAGAAATTCAAAAGCACGTGGATGTGGGTTGTCTGAGTAGAGATGGTGGTTTACACAAAATGACTATTTAACTCTTTCCTAACTCTTGGCCATACGTTCACATACACCTTTTAGAAAAACAGTCCTGCTTATTACACACAAACACACATTGTTGCTGAAAGAAGAGGAAGTTCCTTATGCAACCGTGGTTATTCAGGCCAATCAGGTCACTTTTAGTTTCATCAGACCAAAGGATATGCATTATAAAAATGGTGACACAAGGAAGAGAAATCTGATATCAAACTTGAATAATAAAAAGTATTATCAGCATAGCTATCAGCAGTGGTGGCTTTAGGGTTTGGGATTATAGTTCAGGTTGAGTTTTTGAAATGCTGATCAGGTGTGTCCAATTGTAAACACAGTATCTTGTTGGCATGGTTACGCATTGTACAAAGCCTAAGAAGAAAAATCTCCCCAGCTGCAAAACATTCAAAATCAGAGGGAAAAACATGTTTCTGATTCACGTCTACTTTGGTCATCTGAAATAGAAACAGTTTATCTATTCCAATATTATTCCGACATTAATGTTTTCTGGTCTAATATTAATAGTTGGGTCTCACTATTAAGAGACCCAACACTCGCTGTTAAGTAAGTGACTGTTGGAAATTTTAGGGATTCCATTAAAATCTCTAAAATACAGATTTTAATTAAATAAACAAGAATGTTGTATATTTCATGGACAATTTGAAGTCTGATATTTCTGACATCATTAATCTTGTGATCACTTTGTGTACTTTATTCACAAAGTTAATAAATAGCGATGCACTTTGTAATACGACAACTACCATGACTTACCAAAAATAATAGCTAAAACAATGCTGCTTTAAGTTTGCTATGACATGTTTATTTTTGACTGCTTTCTTTGTTGACACTTTGCAATTACGTCACTTAATCATTCGAGGCGCCATGATGGACGAAAGTATTCAACTGAGCGACTGAAGTTGTTTTCGTCAGTTTATTCATGGCTTTTATGTGTTCCAGTTAGTCTGTGAACGTAACACACCTAGTTCGCCATAATGTAATATTTGATATCTTTCTAATCACACTTATAAAGTATATGGATGTTAATCTTCTTACCTTGTAAAAATATTCGCTGCAAATCCGCGGTTACACCGAGGGCTGCCAGTCATGATTGACGGCTGCTGTCCATCCCAAAAGTTATACAAGTTAGGTTTCCACCCCTGTCTGTTTGTGCAGCCGACCGCGCAGCACTCTGTGGCCATTTTTACTGCGAAATCAACTAAATAAAAGCGATATTAGGCTACCAGATGTGCGTTTCTTGACATAACTTACAGGAGCTCACAGGCTGTTTTGACGGAGCGGGTCGCGTTTCGAAGACCCGCAAAAGGTCAATTCCAATGTTTTAAAATTATTTATTTACAAAAATCACTCACTTCAAAAACTTGTGTTTTTACTGTGTTTTTCAAACACAGTAAAAACACAAGTTATTAAAGACAACCACGGTAAACAGGTAACCGTAAATTAATTTAGCACGTTAAAAAAAAAAAAAAAACTTTTCTAACTGTGTGTCCTTTGTTGACTCGTGAAGAAAGTAATTTTGTTTCTTTCCTTCTTTTTTCCTTTCCTTTTTTAAAGGCAGACCCATTCCACGCCTTGGCTCAGCTCCAGACGAGATAATGTAAGTATCTCTGTTTCGCTAAGTTCTAGGCTAACGGTAACGTTAGCATCGTAAACAAAAGAGGAACTGGTTAACGAGGGTTGTTAGAGGAAGACTGGCGAAACCAATTTTATTTAAACACACACACACACACACACCACTACAGATGGTGTACAAGCACTTTGAATTGCCTTGTTGCTGAAAATGTGCTATATAAATAAAATTACCTTATCTTACCTTACACTATACAAGCTCAGACTGGGCAGAGAACTTCTCTAAAACAGCAAGCTGTTTCACAGACCTTATACTTATCTCTGGACTTTGGCTGGCCCACTTTAAACATATACTCCATTGTAGCTCTGGCTGTATTGTGTCCTGAAAAAGTATTCGCACCGGTTTGTCACTTTACCACCACAAAACATCCATATAATTTAGGCATATTATGAGCTACATGATGCAAAATTTTCCAAATAAAACCCTGAAGTTTGTCGTGGATTCGGCCCCCAGGAGTCAACACCATTGTGGCACAATTTAGTTGTAATTTCCAGCAGCTTTGCAAATCTAGAGAAATCGCCACCAAGCTCAGTCTGGGCAGAGAACTTCTCTAAAACAGCAAGTTGTTTCACAGACCTTTTACTTATCTCTGGACTTTGACTGGGCCACTTTAAACATATGCTCCATTGTAACTCTGGCTGTGTGTGTAGGGCCGTTGGAAACTGAGCCCGGGCCAGCCACCTTTGGCTGCAATTACAACTAAGGATTTTTTTTCTTCCCCGGGTTGTTCTGCATTTAGCTTCATCTTATCAGCTCTGACCTACTTCTTTGTCTCTGCTGACGAAAAGTGTCCCACATGACGTTGTAGCCATTATTTTAGCGAAGGAGATGATGTTTTTAAAGCGATGTGCAGTGTTGACTTTCTGCCACACATCATATTTGTCAGCCAATAATATCTGCTTTCTTTCAGCTGTCTCTTTCCTCTTACTCTTTTTTTCAAAACCCATATTGCAGAACTAATAATTAAAATCGACAGTCGGCCAGAAAACTGCAATTAGTGCACCACTAAAATGAAGGCAGTCGCTCGCACTCGATTTTATTTAGGGGTAGCAAAGCGAAGGGAGCTGTATATAAATGCAAGCCACACTTTTAAGATTAAAAAATATATATATTTATTTGTTGTTGTTTTTTTATGAAAACTATCCTTTCCCTTCCACTTCACAAGAGTTGAGTTGGTCTATCTCACGGGACGTGCTGTGGTTGAAATGGTACAAAAACGTGGAAACATTTAAGGGGTGTGAATACTTTTGCGCGGCTGAATATCTGTGGGTTTCTTTTCAGAGATGAAAAGAGGCTGCTTAGGAGTTAAGAAGCTGTTGGTGTTGTGAAATGGAAAAAAAAAAAGGAAGTGTGAAACTGAACAACCTGTAGCTGTGTGTGTGTGAGTGTGTGAGTGTGTGTGGTGTATTGCATTATTAAATTGGGACAAAAACAGGAGGATACGCAGGATGCAGCTGCAGATTTTCCAATCGGCTTCGTTCGACGGCCGTTTGAAACTCTCTTTGGGTCTGGAGCCTCCGTTCCTCTGTCTGCTTCATAGCCACCCGGGCTGCTGTGAAAGAAGGGAGGGAGGGAGGGAGTGGAAACAGCACAGTTAGGGAACCTGGCCCTGTTTTTTTTTTTTTCCTTCTTTGTTTTTTATTACCAGCAACTTTACAATCAACACTATCAGTCTCAGACCAGGCATCTGACTGAACTTTCACACTGTCTCTCCGGCAGAGAAGCAGAGTGATCCTTCCCATGTTGGGTGGACTTAGAGCTGAAGCCTGCCCCACCTCCTCACCTCGGGACTAACGCTTACACTTGAAGCAGAAGAGAAAGTCTTTCAAAGCGGAGCAGGGAGAACGTGGACCTACTCCATCGACCTGGTGAGTGCTGGCTGTGGTTCTTACTGTGGGTTGTTTCCCACCCGCGTCTCTCCTCTGGGCTTCAGCTCTTATTTATACAAACGGTGACTCTCAAACTATGTTTGAGAGCAGCTCTGGTTTTAGAGTCACCTGTGAATCGGGGTGCCGCCCTGCTTGCATCTGTCCTCACGGAGAAAGTAATCGGGGAGGGAGTATTTTTAAAAACGGGAAACTTCAGTTTGGATCGATCAATGTCTGCACTGTCTGCTCACCACCCTGAGCCTGACTAATTACTCCTAAATATGTCCTTCTTCTTAAAGGCCCAGTTTACTTCACCTGCTCTCACTGAGCTCCAGTTGTATTTATGCGTCACTGCTGTAGTTTTTCTTTTAAGATGTTTTTTGCTACAGCAGAAAATGGCTACAGCAGTTATTTGGCTGAATTGATAACTGAATTAATCAGCTAACTTACCTGCTGCTTAGGAGCAATCGATTAATTATTAGCTGGAGTATATGGACTCAAAAGAAAAGTGGCTGAAAGAACAACATATTTATCAGCAGTTGAGCCACAACTCTAGAAAATTATATACATTTTGCATTTAAGATGGAAAAAAAAAAGATCGGTAAAAATGTTCTACCCAGAACTCCTCAACTTCTGTAAAAAAATAAAAATGCTACTAACCACTTTTTCCAATCCAGTTATTAACAGATTAATAAAAAAGGAACAGATGATCTGTACACTGTGTTATTGTTAAGTTAAGCAGAAAGGGCTGGGCTTTTCACTTGTTGTTTTTAACTTTTTAGCTGCATTTCCTTTCTTTGCTTCAAATGTTCAAGCATACACTGAGCAGACAGCGGTCAGTGACATGTTGTTGCATTTTAGGCAATAAAATAGTTTTTCAGTCATTTAAAGAATGAATTGAATTATTAGCATTTTTTATGTGTAAAATAACATAAATAACAGATTTTGTTAAATGAAAAATTTGCTAGATGTCAGTTTTTCTATATGATTAATTGATTAATCACCAGAATAATGCATTACTAAAATAATCATTAGTTGCAGTCCTGCAGGCAATAACATTTTTATTTTTAATAAGAATTGTTATTTATTTATTACTATATTTTATGTACTTTTAATCTTGTATCAAGTAACGTTAATTGCTTAAAGGAAAACTGCAGACTGTGCCAATTTTTCTCTGATTAGGTGTCAGAATAATCTATAAAATAATCTATATTCATTTTAAACTTTTTACTTATTTAAAAAAATAAGTTATGTATGATGTTTTTCTAATATTAAATGCATAACTTTAAATGGTGACATGAAAAATCTGTGAAATTCGCCTATTTTTCATACGATAGTCAGAAAAATCAATTACTGTAATAATCGTTATTTGCAGCCTGAGTTGTTTCCTGTATTTCTCTGCTCTCATAAAAGGCCCACAGGCATATGAGCAGATGTATTAAAATATCCATATGACACTGTATGAACAACGCTCAGATTTTTGCAAGCACAGTTAACCCTTGTGCGTGCGAGGCCTGAGGCAAACGCAGAGGCCTGAGGCAAACGCAGAGGCCTGAGGCAAATGATACAAGTTTTACATGTGTGGGATTGGTTGGATCCCATTTCTAAACACAAGGGTTAATGACAGTGAGTCTTTGTTCAGCCTACGGATGAAAATAGTGTGTAGTGAGGGTTGTGAATGTGTGACAAGAATTTCTTCATCACGCTCGCAGCACATGGAGCCGTTCAGAGTCAGTGACCTCATTAGGTTCAGAGCAGGCAGTGATGTTTAAAAAGCTGTCAGGTCGCAGTGGGAGTCCTATGCCCTGGGTGTGATCCAATCCTCCCCCCTCTCGACCCTCCATCCCGGATTCGGCTCAGGCCCAGGCGGAAGCAGGCTCTCCTCATCCGGCATTGTGCTGCTTTCATGCGCTCCCATTGTGTCCGAAAGTTTTCCGTGACCCTCAGCGCTTTTTGCCTGGCTCGCGCCGTAAGCCCCCCCATTATAACCAGGCTCACATCGCCACATCTGCTGCGTTAGCTTTTATCTTTCATCTTTCAGCGCTACATCTCTTCAACCCCCTGTTTCCCCTCCCCGACTACGTTTAGACTTTTCAGCGTAGGTCGCCGCTCAGTTTCCACGGGTAAACACTCACGCAGGTGTTTTCTGCCACTGAGTTCAGTGTTACCAGATAAAGTTGGAGCTGCTTTTTGAACAAGTTTGAATTGGAGGGGGAAACAGCTGTGGGAGGGTCGTTAAAATTTCGTCTGTTTTCACAACAGTTGGCGGGATTTTAGAAAGGTTACAGAGGAAAATTATTTTGAAATAGACGTCAGCGCATGGCAGAAAACCACAAAGATTTTAATAAAATGCCGTGTTATTTCACTTACCTTGGTTCATTTGTTTGGAAATCTCTAGAATCTGAACATGTCACTATGTATTGTAAAACAGAAATGTCCTGATTTAAAAGGACATATGACCACAAAAAACTCAAGTCACATTGTTCTTGAAAAGTCAAGTCCTTTGTTGTCCCACTGGAATCTGGTTCTGGTCAGAATTTAATAAAGGACAACCAAAAATGTTGTGAATTGTCACACGTCTATGAATGTAGAAGATGATTCATGGGGCACAAGATTGTTATATATATAAAGTCAGACTTGGAAACCCTGCTTGTTTGCAGATTCACTTTACACCACTGCTTTCATTGGAGTAACCTCGCTTAGATGAGTAGTGTTTTTGTCTCTTAAAGTGATGAGTGATCATGTGATGAATTATTCATTTATATTTCATATGAGACTATAACATCCTAAGAAAGTGAACACACACTGCTGGGAAACAGCATTCCTAACCTTTGGTTTTGTTCATATTGTATCACGTTGCAACCATAATCTTCAAAGGTATTTTATTGGAATTTTATATGAAAGACCAAACACAGCATAGTGTGCCAAGGATGTGGAATAAAATTTATAGTTTCAATATTGTCTTGTCATTTTGGCTATTTTACATAGCTGGATATGGGGGGGAAAAAAGAGGGAAAACTAAGTACAAATAATGTTTCATTTCTGTCTTTTTTTCCCTCATCTGTTCTGCTAAACAAAAATCTCATAATTCTCAAATGTTTTTTTATTTTTATTTATTTTTTTTTTTTACCATTATTAAAACCATCAATATCTTTGATTTCCGTCATGTATGAAAAAAAAAATCAAAAAAGAGTTTCACTAATTCTTGGATTTTTCACAACTTCTAAAGTAAATGTGTGTGTGATTTATAAAATAATTAATACCTTATTTTCCGGACTATAAACCGCACCTCCCAAATTAAAGAAAACAAAACAAAAAAAATAAAAATAAACAGTAAATAAACGCTTATAAGCCACACCGACTATAAGCCGCAGATATCTCTGCCGCTCTAGGTTTTCCACAACGATGTAGCAGCAGCAAATGGGGGCGGACACCCAAAATTTGAGTCATAACAGGTCAATTGAATATCACATTTATTACGGTTGAAAAAGAAAGAAAAAGTTGCCAAGTTTAGATTTAACTGAACTGATTATGAGGGCGTATGAGTTTAAAGAGAAAAATCTCCTTACCGTCTGCTACTAGCATGTGCTAAATGAAAATGGGCTTCTTCTTCTTCTTCTTCTTCTTCTTCTTCTAGATAACAAAATCCATGAACCTTGTTGAGGGAGAAGTGGGTCAGTCATGCTAGCTTGACTTTAGCACCCTTAGCATATAGATGTGCTGCAGAATGCGGCGTGTTTTGGTTCAGTTCAGTTAAAAAAAGGCAACCCACATATGAACTCTGATAGGTGAACAGTAGATTAGATGTTTAAATCAGCTAATCAACCACTGCTGTGCTAACAGTAGTATTCATTTCTAGGGTCGCAAAAATAAGCATAAAGCCTGAAAACGTAAAACTGTAATGGACTGACCGTTCTGTTCCTTGTGTTGGAAATGTTTCCTTGTTTTTTGGTGTTGAATCCTGATACATTAGTGGAGCTGTTGTCAGTAAGTTGCTGCGGCAGCGGGTCTGTGTGTAGCGTAGCCGACACAGAAATCCAGAAAAAAAGAAGAATACAAGTGGTTTTGACTTGTTCTATGTTTTTTTTTTTTTTTTTTTTTTTTTTTTTCTGGGGGGTTTAATTTAATAAGACCAACATTTCAAGTTTTTTTTTT